CTTGAGGACAACCGTAACCCAACTTTCGCTAGTATCGGGGTAGAATTGAATTGTACTGTCCGCTATGCTTACCCCAACCGTAGTGATTTTGGTGGTCACCATTTCCTCAAACTTGGCTAGTAGCCGGTCATACTTCTGAGATAATAGGTGCACGCTGTTTATCTGTGGGATAGATATACATTCCACACAGAACCATACAGAATTTGGTTTGTTTAATAACTTGGCCTGACTAACTTTAACGCGGCGACATCTCGCATGGAAGAACGTGCAACAGTTACGACACAGAATGCCCCCTTAACAAGTTTGGAACATGAGCCACATAGGTCTTTAGACTGCAACACACTGGGCATCGCGCTTGTTGTGGAAATGTTACGAACCATTTGAATGACTCACCCTCTATGGTAAAAAGTTGTTCTGTTACTGATGTTGTCAGCATGGTCACAGTGTTCACGTTGCAGTTGTGTACTTTCGGACTGTCCTCTCTGACGTGCCAGTCGAATGTCAGCGTGAACGTAACGCAGATTACACGTGGGTGTGATTGAGAATTTTCGTAGTTAAGCCTATGGATCGCGCAAGGTGAATTTGCCTTGAGACCTGTAGCTACTACAAGCAATCTTGCATTCGAACGAGAGACAGTTTGATCGAAAGCCGTTGAAGTGTTTTATCAAGTGAGACCAAACGGTCTCCGATGGTTGGAGTTACGCAACATTTGGCGCTTAGATATCGGCGAAAAACTGCCCGGAATTTGGAATTCAGGGTAAATGTAGAATGCCTTGGAGCGTACTCGAGAAAATAGTAACACAAGGTGGAGCTTTTAAAAGCACGACGAATAAGTATAATTCCAAAGGTGTGCGACAAAATGCCGCTGAGCCACAATGGAAAAAACTGCCTCGCCAGGACTGGGCGCACCAAACCTGTCGACCTTAAACACGCAGATGATTAAGCGTGCAGGCGATCCGTAGACAATCATTAGCGCTAGGTCCTTGACCGTAAAGACATCGATGAACGCATAGTTTCGTAACAAACAATCAAAGGCTATTTTACCGCATCCAAATCGATAGTAGTATGCGGCTTTCCTTCATGCCGTAAAAAGGTTCAAATGGGAGTCAAGTGTTCCAATTTCACAGGAAAGTTTCCTTTTAGGTGGTCTTAACATTCTGTAAAACAGTCGAAGATACGCAATAGCAGGCCAGCTTTTCTGCGGTTCTGCACAGTATGTATAGTCATGCCATTGGTAAATATTGTACATGAACTATCACAAGAACGCAAAAGCCTGATGGCAATGGTTGAGCATATGAGGAACACCAACATCAGTTCATTTGAAGTACGCGCGACAGAGAGCAAACCCCAGTTATTCCCGTTAGGCTCTGTATATAAACTGAGGAGGAAGGCTGGGCAGCGCGTTAAACATGCGTCATGTGTGACATTAAACGTTAATACCACTAGCTGCAAAAATACCTCTGAAACAAGCACTGCCAGTCCGATTGGAAAATACACGGCCGGGTCCTCATCCACCCTCCAACCTGTTTCGAAACTTCAGAAGGACATCGACATTAACGGTAGCTGGAACATGGTTGTTGCCAAAAGCAACCGGAAACTTAGACCTTCAGCTAATCCCACTGAGCCCAACATGAGTGAAGTAGGCGAAGCTGTACCTACACAGCCTCCACCGGTTGGATGCAGACCAGCTTAGCGGTTGATCCAAACTCTGGCTAACGTGTATTGATGATGATGATGATGACAATTATTTCGACGCAAACTATATTAACAAAAACAGTTTGGTTCGCCATAGTTTATTAATAAATAATTTGAAGCACAGTAGGCATTTACACCTACAAGAAGGAACAAGAATGGCGAAAGATGGGCCTGCGACTGGTTAAACAGGATCAATAAACTCGAGCGAAATTTCATTTGATCCAGTCAGGTGATAGAAGTCACAAGAGTGGGTGCACGCACCAAGCAATGGTTCGTTGGCCGCGGCCATGTTCCAGTGTCAATAGATCCTTGTTGTACCCAAGGTAATATGACAGCCTGTACAAATATTCTCTACTTGCATGACTCCAGCTGGAATAGCATGATGCATTGCCTTTGGTGGTGGATAACAAGGGATTGTTTGAGTCCGTGTAGGCTGCTTTATATGCGCCTTCACTTTGGATATGATGTCCGGCAGGTGCTAACGGATCGGGTTGCTGACATTCCTAATCGCGCCGTGTTGTTGATGGTCGAGAAAACGCTCTGCCATCCTCCTGGACAGAATTTTGGTCGCGCTTCCGAGGCAGCTTGTGCCACAAGTGCATATGAGCAGAGTTAGGAAAATTAAATCGCATAAAACCGGAATGCCATCTGCATCGCTTTGGGTGATGAGCGGAACAGTTTCGGTAAGGATGTGGTTTTCTGTGGCTTTCCAATGAGAACACACTTAAACAAGCCAGTCAGTCAACATACGACTTTCCACCCTGGACTTCAATCATTCCAGTGGCCAGTCTTTTCACCCTCTCCAAACAAGCGACATCATTTTGAAGATACGGTGCCCATGCCTAAACACAATGCTCCAAATGCGGCCGAACCGCTGCCTTGTACAATAGGCGGTAGACCTCAGGTTTAGTATTGCACAATGCTCTCCTGAGGCGAAAAAGCTCCTGCTGCGCCTTGTTAACAGCATGCTGACACCGCACTGAAGGATTGGAGCCATCCACCATGACGAATATGCGCATGGGGTGAGACGATCACAGTGACCATGGAAAACGTTTGAACAAAGATTAGGACACTTCTTGTATAACTAATAAATCTGCAATAGGTAACGTAAAAATGATGTTCGGCGAAATAGGCAACGGCTGATTTCAAGGCCACACCGTAAGCGAATTTTACTGGCTGGTGCAAATTGTTTAACTCATTCACTAAGTGCACATAATCAATGTGGCAGTGAGAGTATGCGGGTGTTCTCCGAGCTGGTTGATTTGGTTGCAGACGTTTCATCGTCAGGCTAGACGACATCATCAGTGCGCTTTATGCGGGCCACTTGCAGATCCAAGTGATTATTGATCACTTGATTCGAACGTCAGGAGTCTATTGGTCCACGTGAGCTGACCGTGTAGTCAACTCTCGCGTACTATTAGCTAGAGTCCGCCTCAATGATGTTCCTTTGTCTCTTTGATCTGGGGCGGAGTATTGTTTTAACCCTCAGTGCTTCATAGCCAGTATCAAGACCTAAGTGTCGGTTGATTGAGTTCTCTCCCGAGTACCAAGCCGCGATGAACTCGCGTGCTTTTCGAGTTTATGCCCTGCCTATGATCCTGACATTCTCCCAATCAAACTGATGATTCTCGGCGTCCATATGTACTGACATCAGGGAGTTCTGGTCATGTCGGTGGATGGCTAGGCTATGCTCATGTAGCCTAGTGCAGAAGTGCCTTCCAGTCTGGCCCACATAGTATTTGTTGCAATTTTTGTAGTGGCTTTTGTAAATCACACTACTTGTTTCTTCGTTGCCAAGCGGGTCCTTACCATCGAAGAGATTGTCTCGGATCGTTTCCGTCGGCTTGTGAGTAACTTTGATTCCGAAAGGTAGTAGCAGTCTCGCCGCCATCTCAGAGACACCATTTATGTATTGGAGGAAAGCGCACTCTCGGTCGCAAAACCTAAACTCTGGCTACGCTACGTGGACGGTACTTTTGTCATCTTAAAGCGCTCGAAACTGGAAGAAACACATCAGTTAATAAACAACACGTTGACTGGTATCCTTTTCACTAAAGAAGAGGAGAACAATGGTCAGCTACCATTCTTGGATGTGTTAGTAAAAAGACATGCTGCTGGACAACTGGAGACAACAGTTTGTCAGAAAGCGACGCATACAGACCAAATCTTGAATTATCGCGGCAATCATCCAACAGTCTAAAATCGCAACCGCGTAACAACTCTAATTAAAAGAGCGCAGACACATTGTAGCACCCCGCAGCTGAGGAAAGCGGAGGAAGATCATCTATTCGAAATGTTTACACGGAATGGGTATCCTAGGAATTTCATTCTACGCTAACATCAATAAAGAGACCGACACAGGAACAAAGATTAGAAACGGATAAAAAGACAATCATTCTACCATATATAAATGGTGTCTCTGAGATGGCGGCGAGACTGCTACTACCTTTCGGAATCAAAGTTACTCACAAGCCGACGGAAACCATCCGAGACAAACTCTTCAATGGTAAGGACCCGCTTGGCAACGAAGAAACAGGTAGTGTGATTTACAAAAGCCACTACAAAAATTGCAACAAATACTATGTGGGCCAGACTGGAAGGCACTTCTGCACTAGGCTACATGAGCATAGCCTAGCCATCCGCCGACATGACCAGAACTCCCTGATGTCAGTACATATGGACGCCGAGAATCATCAGTTTGATTTGGAGAAGGTCAGGATCATAGGCAGGGCATAAACTCGAAAAGCACGCGAGTTCATCAAGGCTTGGTACTCGGGAGAGAACTCAATCAACCGACACTTAGGTCTTGATACTGCCTATGAAGCACTGTAGGTTAAAACAATACTCCGCCCCAGATCAAAGAGACAAAGGAACATCATTGAGGCGGACTCTGGCTAATAGTACGCGAGAGTTGACTACACGGTCAGCTCACGTGGACCAATAGACTCCTGACGTTCGAATCAAGTGATCAATAATCACTTGGATCTGCAAGTGGCTCGCATAAAGCGCACTGATGATGTCGTCTAGCCTGACGATGAAACGTCTGCAACCAAATCAACCAGCTCGGAGAATACCCGCATACTCTCATCCGCATCCCGAGGTACAATTATTCTCACGGATTTCCAATGTGGCAGTCACACACGATGGGCGTGCAGTTGATATTTTGCTATGAATGTTTACTGAGAATCATCAAAATAGTCCTCTTCACGAGTGCGCTGCTTATTACATTTTATTGCACATACCCTGTAAAATAATTTAATATCAGGATTGTCTTTGTTACTTCACCTTATCGATTTTCTTTTCAGCTGGCTGCAAGTCCCTCGGCGAAAGCTGTTGGAAGACTGTCTTCGATCCATGTTGCGGTTCTACCGTGTGTGATTTAGACGTTGGAAAATGCATCAAGTGTTACGCGTTAGGACATGGATGTCTGCGGGATTCCGAATGCTGCGACGACAATTGCCATTTATTTATGTGTGCTCCACCTGGTTATAGCATTTGGAAGGAACTCGTAGGTGCCTGGAACGGGAAGAAGTAGCCGTTTCGCTCCAAGGCTTCAACGAGCAAACATAGCCATCCATTTTAGCATGCCATCCTCCTTGATATTTTTTTGATGTCAATGTACGAATGAATTTCCACAGCAATTATATTCTTGCCCATGGCACTTACGTTGCTGACCAAGCGACCTAACATGTTCCCCATCTTATTGTTTGCGAAAGTACTTCGGGGGTTCTCGAGATGAATATTTCACCCCTGTGTTATATAAAGTGGGGCAAAAGCTACGTTGCTCTGCTTGGATGGTTACTACGAAAACTCATGATCCCCTCTATCGTCAAACTGAAAGGTTACCTGCCCAAGTGCTACACACGACTGTCTTTCTCGCGGGTTTGCGTCTTTTTCAACTTTCTACTCTTTATGTTAAGTTGTAACATGGACAAGAACTTAGTCTGTATCCGTCTAAGGAAGGTAAAATGCAATTTTCACACAGTCAGCACTGGGTAATGCATTGATCTACTGGGCTCCGAGTCAGAAGCACCAACCGTAGCTGCACGCTGCTAAATTAGCTGGTGGAGCAGACAACCCTTTTCATAAAACTTATCAATCCAGCACAAATTACAAACGGTCAATCAGTGCGCATTCTGGCCGTCTGAAATAGTTTAGGGTTCACGTATTCTCCTTGCATCATCGCATCATTTCACTTATACAATTACATAACAGAAGGATGCATGTACAATGGAAATTCAATGGCAAAACGTTCTGCAGCGTCTAGTGAAATGGGTAGCTCAAATTCGACTATTAACTGGGGTCATTATGGCATTATAAGCTCACAAACCCCGTGGACTAACTAGATCTGTTCACTTTATTGAACCAAAATCATGTGTTGGCTAGTGCCTTCAGACTGATTTGTGTCATTCTCTAGTAGTCGATCATCTTCATCGTTTAATTTCTGCACACCGTAGAAAGCCTCATCTCAGTAGTTATAAAATGTGGTTCAGGTGCGCCATATCCATTGGTGTGACTTGTTGTGCTAGTCGTTATGTATGGCTTATTCTAATCGCATAGAGACAAAATATTCATGCACAATAGTCAGTAGATGCCGAGCCTTGTGGGGACACTCTTTACAGATTTCTTGGGTGAAGACAGCGACTAAGCCGTTCAATATTGTCAGCATGCAATTTGAGACAGGCTGTCGCAGGTAACCATGTCTTTCCCTGTCTAGATGTGCACCCACCGAGGTAGAAGAAGTTGCCCCCATTGTCGGCTCTTTGGAGAGGCAGAGTCGCTCCGCCAACACGCACTGCAGCACATTAACCAGTTATGCACGGACATCAGACTTCGCTCCCCTCAGGCAGGAAAAGACAATGCCTTCGGTTGTGAAGCTCTTACTTCTTGCTCTCAGATGACAATCCGGTATGGTCGTACCTATGCTCGCCATTTTGCTTGCGTATTCCCGATAAACATAACCTGGGCAATTTTCATTTTGGGAAACGGCATTCCAGTCATCACATGTTTGGATTGCATCATACATGAAATTGGATCCTTATGAACCTAAAGGAAGTTTTCAGGAAGCAATGGTAACAATGGTCGATTGACAGATTACAGTCAACTTGAAAGCTTTGCTGATATACACCCCTATGCTTCGCCACGTCACACATGACTTCCCACCAGTACGGGTCTCCACCGAAGGTGTTGATAGTTCGGTAAACCGGTCTCAACAAAAGTAGGTTCGTTAAAATAAAACGACCTCGCACGGCTCTAACTTAAGAGGCAGTTACACGGAGCAAATCACTCGGATCGATGGTAATGAGAAACACATCGTGTGTAGACTCGACAAGGTACCAGTACCAACAGTGTCATAAACTGCTTGTGTTTATAGCACCCGGAATCCAGCTGACTGCTGCGGTACACCTGAAGAACTTCATTTTTGTCACATACACTAATAAACATACCGTTAATAATCGCTATTGACGGGTCAGTCATCGCCTTCGGAGGTAGGTCAAATTGACGGCACAAATAGTGACAGTTCGATGAACAATTCAATGTAGTCTCCTGTGTGATCATAACGACGCCGATGTATCCGCTTATACTATTACTACTCAGTTACGGTTCTGTGTCACTAATCACCCGGATAATAATAACAATAGGTATATTTCCCGATTGTACGAGAAGCTGTCCCTGGATTGTGGACAGATCATGGGTACGATAATTATCATGTTCATGCATGAGTGAAATAGGTAATGTGGAGGTGTATGATGTTAAAATAATTTGGAATCACGTAACATTTGTTGTTGCTGAGTTCATTGTACCATTGATTATATATTCCTTTGTCCATCCTGAAAGAACTCGTGTGAGGAGTTACCTGATGGAAACATGGTCATTATCGAGGTATTGTCCACTAATTTACTAAGCTGGATGTGAAATGCTCTTGCATTTGCGCAAGACCTGATTGTGGCTGGTAGGCTATTCCACACGACAGCATATCTGACGAGGAAGAAGTTTGATCGGATAGCTATCCTGGTTCTCGGGACGCTTAAATTACAGGTCTCGTTACGTATATTCCGAGTGAAGTTATGTTGAAGTTTAAGTGCACACAGATTGGAGTGTCTATTGGTTTATGAGATTGTGCGTCAGCATCGGGTTATGTTTCAGTCGTCGCGACCAAATGGGCTCTAGCTTAAGCTGTGGGCCATGCTCCTGATAAGTCAAGGTGGTTGAGTTACTAAACAAACGCTTCGTGAATGATCTTTCCAGGTTTTCCAAAGCTTTGCTGTCACCCATTCGCATGTTCCCATAGATGATGCTGCAGTATTCAAGGACAAGAAGTGTAAGTTTATGTTATCGCTCGCCTTGGAAAACTGGTCCAAATTCCGCATGAAGCTGCCAGCGGAAATTCAATTAAAAGCATCAGGTACGCTGCCACGGATTACCAACGACTCACGGGGAGCGATCAGATTGTTGAACCATCCACTCATGCAACTTTGTGAAGGCATAGATTTATGGACAACCACAATCCCACGAAACACGGCTGAACACGGGGGACCAGCAGGGCCCGGAAGGCCGCGATCAGTCGTCTAACCGAAAGCAAACTCAAAGGCAAACGTCACTACAAAAAAACGGTTAATGGCCGACCCGTTAACGGTCGGCACAAACTCTATTCCTACCACAACCTGTGCTAGCTCACTCTTGGTTACAAAAGCACTATCCTGCATGTATACTAATGCCCAAGGCCTCATAAGTAAGTTGGTAGAACTGCGTAACCGTTTGGCTTCGGAGCCTCGAGACATCATAATGATTGCGGAAACCTGGCTGAGCGGTGAAATCACAGACGCTGAGATTGCCATACCGGGTATGTCAATTCTCCGGAACGACAGAACGGGCAAGGGCGGTGGTGTGCTCATTTATTTCCGAACGAACCTTTGTTGTGAGCTCATAGACGATCCCCAGACTTGTGTCACCGACGTCCTTTGGTGCAAACTGTGGTTGGAACGCAACGACGTATGCCTTCTTTCTGTGGTTTACCGACCACCGAAATCCACTCCGGAAAGGGACAACAGACTTATCTCCGCTTTTCGCTCCGTGCTTAATCAGAAGTACAGCCACATCCTCGTTGCAGGAGATTTCAACACCCATGACTTGGAAAATCCAGCATCCGAGACAGAAGTGTTCAAGGCATATTTGCAAGAGCTACTCTCTAGCACCTTCTTGTATAACCACGTCACCGTTCCAACCAGGTTCAGAACGGGAAACAACCCATCGATATTAGATCTAGTGCTCACTAACGAAGAGCTCATGGTCGATGGACTAAAGGTGTGCAGTCCTTTGGGCCGTAGCGATCACGTGACTTTGCAGTTCGATTACATCTGCTACGCCGAATATCCAGCTGCGGAGCTCGAAACGAGGCAATCTGTCACCCATTACCACGTTCTGTCTGCTCTAGTTGAGAATACCAGTTAGACGTTTCTAGCTAACTGCACCCCAGAACTAGCCTGGGAGACATTCGTGAACACCATCACGTCACTAGTCATAGAAGCCTCAACACCACAAGTTTCCCAACATCCCCGCACAGCGAAATCATTCTTGCGAAGCCGGACGCGAAAATGCATGACTCTAAGGGATCGGGCATGGCGCATGTATAAAAGCAACCCCAGCGCAGAAAACTGGACGGAATACGTTTCGCATCGCAACTACTGTGTGCTTTTGGTTCGCGAAGACAAGAGAACGCATCAGCAGGAGCTAGCCAAACGATTCTGTTCGAACAAAAAGCTTCTTTACAAACATGTGAATGGACTTCGCAAGGTGCAACGGGGAATCCCACCACTTAATACGACCAATGGGTATACACATACTGCGAAGGAGGCGGCCAACGCATTACGGGCCCAGTGCTCCCCAATCTTCCAAGGTGTACAAGCCTCGACGTATATTCCGCCACTAGTTACCCCACCGTCCGTTTTATCCAACATCACGTTCACTGCAGAAATGGTGCTGCAAAAGCTGCTATCCTTGCGTCCACACAGCTCTCCCGGGGCCGATAACATTCACCCGAAAACATTACAGGTAGCTGCCATCCACTTGGCCGAACCACTAGCTGCATTTTTTCAGCGCTGTTTCGATGAGAACATCGTACCTTCGAGGTGGAAACAAGGTGTAATAACGCCCATATACAAAGCAGGAAGTCGATCGGATCCTGCCAATTACCGCCCCGTAACGCTTCTGCCTGTGATCGCCAAAGTCATGGAAGCGGTGATAGCAGATGCGTTAATGGGATACTTGGAAAACTACGGCATAATTGCGCCAGAACAGCATGGGTTTCGTCAACATCGTTCATGTACGACGAATCTGCTGATAGCTCGTGACAACTGGACCGAGACTGTCGATGAGGGAACAGGAGTCGATGTCGCATTCTTGGACTTTTCGAAAGCCTTCGATCGCCTGGATCATCGAATCCTGCTCATTAAACTCCAACAGTACGGTATCGGAGACCCGTTGTTAGGATGGACCGGTAACTTTCTCTCTGAACGGCAATTAGAAGTTAGAGTTCGATCATCCTTTTCCGATCCGATTCGAGTGGGATGCGGCGTACCGCAGGGTTCGGTACTTGGGCCTCGTTTGTTCCTGCTTTTCATTAACTATATAGTAAGAGTTATTACGTCGAAATTCTTACTCTTCGCGGACGACCTCAAGGTTTGGCGGGCGCTAAAACGATCGGACGACCATGAAGTCCTACAGCGTGACTTGAATGAGGCCTGGAATTGGTCGGTGAGAAACGCCCTGCCGTTTAATGTGAACAAATGTCGCGTTGTTCATATCCGCCATCGACAAGTCCACGTCTACAAGCTTGGGGCACACGATCTGAAGACCACCACTCAGGAACGCGACTTGGGTGTGCTGGTACAGGAAGACCTCGGGTGTTCCAAACAGTCAGATTCCGCTTCTAAAAGGGGCAACCAGCACGTTGGACTCCTGCGAAGAGCATTCGGAATTTTGGATC